GTCGCCTGATTCTGTCCGCAGAGGTCTTGTAAAAGGGTCAGGAGTGGATATATTCAAACGAAAGACATTCCCGATGCACCTCCTCTTCCCCGCTTCTGATTTCCGCAACCCTCAAAGATTATGTCGGAGTTTCCACGTAATCACAATTCCAGGCGACTATAAACACCAACGAAGCTGCGTAGTTTTAATCAGGGCATTTTTCGAAAAGCAGTGAGTGAAAGTGTCGTAGCTTGGGTCCCGCATGAAACTACCAAGTTTGTCATCCCAGGGGTCCACTAATTGGTAGTGGGATGGACCTACTATGTACTTAGATATTAGTTGAGTTGCACTGTGGACCACTTACGAATTCGAAGAATTGAACGTCTCCGAAATGCCAAATGCGCCAGAGAAACCATCCCTCGTGATCAAAGATGCCTTTCTATCTTCATTTCTGGTTTTCAGGACCATGTCAGGACGTATACCGTAGTTGCAAGCGATGGCGGGAAGAAGAGCGCTGCTCATGGACTAGGCCGATATCACCGTTCTTCACCGATAACTGCGCACTTTCGTGCGGATTGTGCCGCAGTAGCGGGAGAAGTATGGTAGCTTACTGGTTTTCAAGAATTACTGTATCTTTACCATCACCGATTTAGGGTTACCAATAACACTACCGCCGATTCTTGACAATATTGCGTGGTTTGTCGGCAGATGGGAATGCAAAACAACGCAAGGCGAAAAGTAGGACTTTCACTGAGTGACTCATATCGATTATTTATCAATTTGGCACTTACAGTTTCCCTGAAGCGCTCTCAGGACCTTATCGGGAAATTCTCGAAGTGCAAATTTCGGATGTTCCGATGTTTGATCGACCACCAGTGAACATAAGGCAAGCCTTTTAAATTATATTCTCTCGATGATCTGTGGCCTTAGTAATGTGGGCGAATGCACTGAAACTGACCCATTTCAAATCGGATACGCCGTGACATTTGCATAATCTTAGTGCCACTTTAAATGGAATGACGCTAGAGGCGGCCAAAAATGACGTACACTCTTCGACAGC